GAGAGAGAGAGAGAGAGAGAGAGAGAGAGAGAGAGAGAGTCAGGTTGGCTTGTGACCATTTTTCCTTTATGTTTTCATGATTAGAACATTGATCACGATCTGTACCCTCTTAACAGATATTCAGTATACAATGCAGCCTTGTTATCCAGCAGGAACAGCAGTGCTAACAGATGAAATCTGCTCGGCTCTTCCCTCGGGGCCTTTTTTCTCCTGGCACTGCAACTGTCTGGGTCTGATACAGGGTCCCAGAAGAGAAGACATTGCAGACAGAGCCCCAGGCTGGCTGCCAGTTTCAGAATTCAGCTGCCAGGTGTTTCTTGTGAGGGCGATTTGGAAGTGCCTGTTTGGTTTTGTTCCTCAAGAGTGACTAGAAGATGAGCATGTTGAGCATCAGTTTGTGTTTATTACACGGTTGCTTTTGTATCACTTCCTGCACAGCGGCCTCTGAGGGGCTCGTGCAAGTGTGGATAGAGAGCACAGCAGCATCAGACCCTGCAGAGCAGAAATGCTTGTGCATTGCTTGTAGCTTCTGGCAGCGCATGCCCAAAGGGCGGGAGTTAGAGCGGGACCAGGGAAAGTGTGATGGGGTGCTGTTTCTGCTGCTGCTGCTCATCCTGCCCTCCTAAGGAGGATGTTGTCACTGCCCAGCAGGAATGATTGAAGGTGTACCAGAAAGGATGTCCTCCCAAGCCAGGGTGTAATATGCGCTGAACAGTAAAGGCCAGGCATGCTAGAAGCCAGCTCTTAAACCCAGGCAAAGACACACTCTCTTAATTTGCCAGGGCAGTGGGACACTGACCACCGTCGAGAGTGAAAGAGGATGGATTATCACAGAGGGAGATTTTGAAATCATCTACCAAACACTTAATAAAGGAATCCCTATTGATCTTTGAGGTTTCCCAATCCCGTTCTATCCTGGACTTTATTTTCTTAATGTGGTACAATTGTGTTTCTATGTTTTTCTGATTTTCTTAGTTAATTGCCACTGTACTTTCATTGTGCTGGTTACATATTGCCATTCTTTTTCCAGAGGGTTCTAATTGGACAATATAGTAATACATATGGGCCAATTACATCATGTCCTTGACTGTTTTACTAATTTAATTTCAGTAATCTCAGGATACATACACTTAATTAGCAACTGTGATTAGATTTTTTTCTTTCTATATATTTGCTAGTTATATTTCGCGTATTAATTGTCTTCCACATGTGCATGTATTAAGGTTTTGGAGAATTAACTTTAATATTTAAATTTGTCTATGGTTGTATTAAGAAATTAAAGCATATATGTGTGCCCATGTATTGCTACCATATAGAAATAGCCATTTTTTGTATTCTAGGTATATCCTTCTGACTTTTTAAATCTATATCTTCAGCATGTTATTTTTTCCCTCTCTGTACTGAAATTTGTCTTTCACTCTTCCTATCTGTGTATGAATGAGTATGCGTACACGTATGAAAGTGTATGCACACGTGTGTGGAGGTCAGAGAACAACCTTGAGTCTTGTTTCTTAGGTGCGGTTCACTTCTTTTCTTTTTCTTTTGAAGTGAGACAGGGTCTTTCATTGTCCTTAAACTTGCTTACAGGGCTGATCTGCCTGGCCAGCGAGCCTGCCTCCAGACCCCAGCATGCATTGGTGTTGTGCCAAGTGCCCAGCTTTTTTTTTTTTTTTTTTTTTTTTAGCTGATTCTATGAATCAAATGCAAGCCCTCGACCCTTCAAGGCAGACGCTTTACTGACTGGCTTTCAGCCTCATGTTTCTTTTTTATTAACAAACACATGATCATTCTCTTAACTAACCATTCTCAGTCAGTATTTTACTATCTTTTAAAGAAAAGTTTAGTGTTTTAAGCTGGTAATTCATAACCCCTTCTGAAACTCTGTAGAAATGTATGAAGAGGAAAAAAAATGACTATCACTCAGAAACAATGAAGTTGCTGTCCATTTTTAATAGTATCTGTATTTTTTTTCTCAAAATGTCAGATTACACACACATATTCATTATATTCATTTTTTCAAAGTTGTAGTATTAGATATTTGTTTGCTTCAAGTTTTCACTATTTTTTTAATTTACATTATTTTAAATGTTCTCAATAAATATTATTTGATAAAAATCTTTGTAACTATTGCTGGTGTTTCTTTGTTTTTAATAGTATTTTTTAAGTATTATAGGGCATAATTACATGAAGACTCCTAGCATCTTTTGCCAAATTGCTTTTCATGAGGTAATTAATACAGTTTATCTTTTAGCAGTGTTTGGCATACCTCAGTACTCCTCATCAACATGGATTATTATCTCTTTTTTAAGTACTTGTTAATTTGGTAATTGAAAAATAGCATCTCATTGGACACTTTTGTATTTGTCTTGGTTGAGGTGTTATTTTGAGACAAGTTCTCACTATATAGTCCAGACCAGCCTCACACTGTTGATCTTTGCCTCCCAAGTCCCGAGATTATGGCCTATGTCAACATTATTTTAATATATTTCCTACATGCATATTCATGATTAACAATAAAAGGTTTTCTTGTGGCAGGGGCTGGGGGTGGGAGTAGGGGGTGGAGAGATGGCTCAGGAGTTAAAGCACTGGCTGCTCTTCCAGAGGACCCAGGTTCAATTCCCAGCACCCACACGGCAGCTCACAACTGCTGGTAACTTTACCTCTGGTGGATCTGATACGCTCACACAGGCAAAACACAAATGGACATAAAATTTTAAATAAATAAATAAACAATAAAAGGTTTTCCTAAGAACATTAACAAAAAAGTGGGTTTTCCCTAATGGATGATTGTGTGCCCTTGTGATGCGCTCTCTCTCTCTCTCTCTCTCTCTCTCTCTCTCTGTTAGAATAGACATGAATGAGTCCCATGTCCTGTGTCTGACACAGAACGTTGTTTTCCTAATAGGTCTTGGTATCTCGATGGACAGACGCTCCTACTCATCATCTGTGTTGCCATTGTGTTCCCTCTTTCACTGCTTCCCAAAATAGGTGGGTCCCTGAAGACACAGGGGTGTGTTGGGGAGGGGGAGGCAGGGGAGGAGTGGGCAGAGAGTAAGAGGCTTTTAAGCTTAAACTTGGCCTGTGTTCAGCTGCTCAGCCCTCAGCCCTGCCTAGCTAACTTATTACTTGGCTTGTGGTGGCGTTTTGTCTGCCCCCACTAACATGAAGTCGTTACGGCGGCGCATTAAGGAGCAGCCTGCCCTGCAGTTGGCTCCTAGTGGCAAGCCAGTTCCCGTTCTGCTGTGCAGAGCCGCATAATGACCTGTGACAGACGGGCCCTCGGCCCAGATACCAAGCTGCAGTAGAAAACATGCCCAAGATGCATGGCTCTGTTTGTGAGTCAGGATCACTTGCCTTATAAATTGCTTTTTATTTTATTGGTATTTTACAGGCTTTCTTGGCTACACAAGCAGTTTATCATTTTTCTTTATGGTGTTCTTTGCCCTTGTGGTAAGTTTAAAATATAATATGTGGCTTATTTCATCACAGAAATGCAACTGTGTTAATGACATCTTTTAACTGCTTTGTGCTGGGCACAGTAGCCCATTTTATGTTATTAAGAGCACTGTTGTTGTTTTGCAGACAATTAATTTCAGTCACAGGATTATTCATTTTGTCCATTTTAAAGAAGCTTAAAAAAGCATTTCAAATTTAGTGTCTTGTGGTTAGCAGAGAGGTATACACAGTTCTTCTGTTAAGACTCTGAGTGGAATAGACCCCTGGACAGCATAGCACTCTGGAGTAGCAGTAGGGATGTGCTCTGTACAGTCAGTTCAACACAGCACTTCCTGGAGCTTTATTCCGTTACTGAAACTACAGGTTCTGAGACTTGATTGAAAAGCTCTCAGGAGAACTGGGGTGTGAATGTAATCCTATCCGATCTGCTTACTCAGCATAAAATGTTCTCAGAAAGATAGTGTTGGGAATAAATATTCTTTTCATATGCAGGAAATGTATTTTTAATTAACTCTTTTTATTATGTATCATATCAAACAACAGTTTAACATTTATAAAATAATTTAACATAAGGATAAAAGAGAATTTAAATTTATAGCCTTTTAATTCTTCTTCTTTTTTTTTTTTTTGGTTTTTCAAGACAGGGTTTCTCTGTGTAGCTTTGTGCCTTTCCTGAAACTCGATTTGTAGCCCAGGCTGGCCTCGAACTCACAGAGATCCACCTGCCTCTGCCTCCCAAGTGCTGGGATTAAAGGGGTGCGCCACCCCCCACCTTACCCCCCCCCCCGCAACCTTTTAATTCTTCTAAGACAGATATGTCCTTGTATATAATTTCTTAAAAAAAAAAAAATTCTTTGCAGTTCAGTTTATCCCATAGTAAGGATCTAAATGTCAAACCTTACATAGGATTAAACATTTTTAATTTGCCAGAGTATATATATTCCAAGTAACCTTTTTCTAAGTATTTAAGCTTTCCCTGAATTACTGATAATGAATCAAGGGGAAATGTCACCCCTAAGCAGGTTATAGAGCCAGGTGCCAGAGCTGTCAAAACAGTCCTCAGACTGGGGAGAGAGTTCAGCTGACAGATCGTGTCTGCCCTGCAAGTCTGAGGGCTTGCTTTCAGTTCCTAGAGCCCGTGCGAACAGTCGGGCCTGTTGGTACATGCTTGTAATCCCAGTGCTGGGGGAGACAGAGATGAGTGGATTTCTGGGCCTCGCTGGCCAGCCAACTCAGCCTTCTCCTACTCAGCACACTCCAGGCCAGTGAGAGATTGTCTCAAAGACCAAGATGAATGGATCCTGAAGAATGACATCCACCGTTGACTTCTGGCTTCCATCTGTGCATACACACATATGCACACACAACCACACAATATGTAACCACCAACCACCACACACATGTGCATACAACCACATGCACACCACACATGCACGCACACACTGCCACACAAACATGCAGCCACATACCCACTACGTATATACACATCAGTCCTGTTTGCATTACATTTATCTTTGGCTAAATCATCTAAGACACAGGATAAAACGACTAAAATCCTTATAAGCAACTCTGATCTCACTGTTCATAAACATTTATGTTATAAGGAATGTTTGTAAGGCTGAACATATTTAGCAGTTCTTGATCATTGTTGAATTTACCTGTGTTAGAATTGCCCCTCCACCGACCCCAATGCCATTCAGATAGTGAATTGAGCATGCATTTTTTTAGGTTCCATACTTTAGAGAGAAACAGTAAGTATTTTCATTGTAAGGTAATTGTTGAAAAGCATCTATCTACATGGTTAGAAGGTAGCCTACATATACATAGGAATGTATGGTTCTTAAATGAGTGTCGATAGCACACTGAATTTTCTCCTCCTAGTTAATTAACAAGGCAAGCATTTCATAGGTAGAAGTAATTCAGTTTTCACAGTCAATAGCTTAACACAGGTGAAATGTATTGATACAATATGTCTATCATAGTTTTGGTTTCTGTCATAGGAGGTACTCTTTAATTCAATGCAGATTTCTGCTCCAGTAGTCATATGGAAATGATTCTCTTATAGTTATCGTGATGTTCTACAAATCATCTGCTTGGATTTCTACCTGTGAGAAGAGTTGAAATTTGGCCTACAATGAGACTATGAAGATTATGTTTTGTTTTGTTTTTTAATGCTGTCTTTTCTTGCCATATGTATTACAGATTCTGTTTCTAGTTTTTGTTTGTTTGTTTGGTTGGTTGGTTGGTTGGTTGTTTGGTTGGTTGGTTGGTTTTGGAGAGACAGGGTTTTGCTAGGTAACTCTGGCTGGCCATGAACTCACTGTGTAGACCAGGCTGGCGTACAGTTCACAGAAATCCATCTGCCCAGGCTCTGCCTCCTGAGGGCCAGAACTCAAGGTGTGCTCCGCCATGCTCAGCTAACTGACTCTGTAAACACGTGTGCCAGTGTGTTCATTGAATATCTTTAGAACATGTGTGTATAAGTCTATTACATTTATATTGTTTTATACAATCAATATAGAAAACATTTTCTTAATTAAACTCTTCAAGCATGTAGCTAAAGTGGCTCTACTAGCTGCTCTCCCAGATCCTGATTTTCATTTAGAAATTTAGCATAATTTTTCCCTTGAGCATCTAAATTTAAAAATAAATTTCAATTTTTATCAATGGCTCAAAGTGACGTAACAGATGCTTTTATCCTTTTTTTTTTAACTTACCTTTTTGGTCACTTTGAAGCAAGTCTCTGGAGTTGAGGGGAGGGAAGGGTTCCTGAGAGCTCTGTAAAGGGATTTGAAAGACGGAGGAGGAAGGGCCTTTTGGGCATTAAGTAGTTTTAGTGCTTCGGGTCATTTTTCTTGTCTGTCCATCCCCCAGAATTGCCTTCTTACCCTGTAACTCTCTCCTCTCTTGTTGATGGGTCTCGGGCCCCCTCCTCACCTCTCTGCATCTCCGGCCACCCCATCCCACCATGCTGGTCTGAAGCTGGGACGGCCGTTTGCACAGGAATTCCCTGTAATAAGGGAATTTATGTTAGCGTAAAATCCAGTTGCTAATAATTCTTTCTAGTAAATGAAATAGGTTCTATTGTATCTTGGAGAATTTTTGCAAGGATTTTGACTTGAGGCCTTCTAAAGTCACAGAGGACCAAGCAAGGAAGAGAGGGAAGAGCACTCATGTGGCGCTCAAGGCCTGGTGCTGAGCAGTGCTCAGAGGTGCTGTCCGAGGCCCCAGGAGGACACTGCGTTTGGAGTGTCATCAGCAGGGTACAAGAGAGACCAGGCGCTCTCCCCTAACCCACACGCTATCTCTTTAAAAAAAAAAAAAAATGAGATTCTTGGTTCTGGTTCTGTTCTTTTCTGTCGATGGTTAAGCTTGGTTTTATATGAAAACTTAACCTGGAAATGCCCAGTTTGTCCTTAGGCGCCCCACCACCCCCCCTTTGGGTGAGATTTTTAAATTAAGACTGACTTGGGTTCACTCATTAACTTAATCCTAAAAGTGTGTGTTTTCTTTAGATTTACCACTGTATAAAATTTTGATTGAATTTGTTAAAACCCAAACTAGATAAGTTCCAAACAGGAATAGTATTCACTTACTGCTCTCCTGCAAAGACAAATACTTTCTTTCTTCTCTCTGCCCCTTTGTGTGCTGGGATTTAGCCTGAAGCAAATATTTACAGAGTAATTATGTGCCTGCAACAGGGGCTACAAGGACAGTGTTGACATGGTGGCAACCATGGCTCTAGGAACGGGATGGTCACAGTTAGGAGTCAGTCCTGAAACCTGTTCGTTCTGGGAAACATCGTCCCTCTGGCTTTCTTTTGAGGTTTTTTTTTTTTTTTTTTTTTTTTTTTTTTTTTTTTAATTTATTTTTGCCAGCTGGAGTTTTCATGTTCTAGCCAGCTCTCTCCACATTGACCAAAATACCACAAACCTGAAAAAGTGAAGAGGCCAAAGTAGGTATGCATCAGGCCACGTTCTGTGTTAAGTCCCAGCTCGTGCCTGCTGGCTAGTCTAGGCCTGTCTGCTGCGGACAGACCTAGTCATAGTCTGTGCCACTGTCATTGAAAACGTGCTTCCTTTTTGAGTTACACTTTTAAAAACAAACCAACAAACAAACAACAAAAAAACAGGGTACTGTTGGATTTTGGAAAATTGACCCAAGAGCACACTGAGTCTCTCATGAGCAAGATTCCTCACTGGTCAGACGTAAGGTATCCTATGCCCCCCTCTCCAGTGACCATGTTAAAGGGTGACCCCATTCTAGCTGGGGAAAATCGGAGCAGCAAGGATCCATCTATTAGCCTCCTGTTTGGCATTTTTTAAAATGTTGTCCTGGTTGAGATCAACTTGTGATGAATTTTACTACAGATCATCTGAGTGTCGGTTGTATTTACTTTTACAGATAGTAATTAAAAAATGGTCCATCCCTTGTCCTCTGACCTTAAATTGCATCGATGGAGTGTTCCAGGTGATAATTTTTAGGTTCTTTTGTTTTAACTTTTCAACCAAAAAAAAGAAATGGAAGATAAATGATTATGTTTCTAATTAATGAAAAAGTAATGGTTCCATTGCATTTTAGAACTTTTCTTTGAAGTGATTTGATGGGAAAGTGTAGTAGTAATAAATTCATCATATTTGTTGATGTATTCTGACTTTTAATAGCTGTTGGTTTCTCTTTTTCCCCTCATTGCTCTTAAACAGATTTCAAATGCTGCAGATGACTGTAAACCAAAGCTCTTTCATTTCTCCAAAGAGGTGTGTAACTTATTAACAGATACTTTGGGTTGATTTTTCACATTTCAAGTTTTAAGAGATTTGTGTAACAGGGTCTCTCAGGTCTTTATACCTGTAACTAATTAATTTTCATGAAAGTGCTAAGTATAGGATTGCCTACCAGAAGAATAATATTATTTAACACAGGGTGGCCCATTATGAAACAGCCACCTTTTTCTTTTCTTTCTTTTGGCATGCCTTTAAATGGAGCCTGTTTTAAATGGGCCTTTGCCTAAAAGAACAGATTTACCAAATGTCTGGTCTGGCCAGTAAGGTCCTCTGTGGATACGGTTTTCCTGTTGCGCTCTGGACTTGTAAAGCTAAATCGCCAATTACATCAAAAAACTCCTCCCCTGTGAGTAGGACTTGGGTCTCTAGCTAAACAGCCTCATCATTGGACCAGCAGTTGAGTACTGCCAATCCTCCTTGTGAACAGCATTCCAAGGGGAAATTTATGATGCTCAGAGCAGAGACCTGAAGACCAAGTTCCTTGACTGCTCTAAGAGAGCTGTAGGGTCCTGAGAATCCCTGAGAATTTGGAAGAGTCCCTGAGCATGAGCAGAGAAACAGGAACTGCCATTTGCATGGTCCCTGCTTTGTTCTAGTGGAAAAGCCAAGTCTTCCTGTTTCTGGGAGTCTCTTCCTTCTCCTCTTTGTATTTCTGCTGAAATGTTGTTTTATAGGTCCCAGACACTGGATTCCTCCACTCACTGCACTTTATTAGTGTAGAATGTTAACGTGGTTAGTCCTCTGTGCAGAACCTTCCTTTGTTTTTAACTAAGAAATGTCTCAAGCCTCACGAGGGAGGTTACCACATCTTTCACATGGTAAAGACCTCCACGGGCCTGAAAGATCTAGGTAGGGTAATTGACGCTGGGAAATTGAACAATATATGAACCAGAGAATCTGTGGTGTAAACTCTGGTTCCCCTAATGCAGCTTCAGAGGACACAACTTCCTAGGTACTATATCCCACAGTAGTTCTTCATCTGGAAGTTCTCTTGGTAAAGAGCCTAATGCTAGCTGAGGAGAAATATTTTTAGACCAGAAAAGAGAAATCATTACCATCCATTTGTTAAAGACAGCACTTTAATTTAGAGGGTAACTTTCTGGCTTGCTAGTTTTCTGTGGCTTTTGTTAAGTATTCTAATAATAATTTTTAAAGAAACTATAGGTATTACATGGGATCCCAAGGAGTTTTTCAGGTCTAGAATTAATGATCTTTGTGTTCATTAAAAAAGATCTTGGTTGAAGATTCTGGCAGTACAAAGATGTGGTTTCTATTTTTAGTACTTACTTGGATTGAGTAAGTAAAAGCAGATTTGGAAGCATCAAGCATGCTGCTTGAGGTAATGAGATGTTTTTAAATTGTGAATACCTTAAGAATGACTGGAAATTATAATAAAATGTCTTTAAATGTAGCTGTTTATATCTTATCTAAATTATTTTTATCTTACCCAAATAATATAGAAAGTGGTAATTGCAATAAAGCAACATGATACGAGAGGCCAGCCAGAAACTGTTCAGGTCAGACTAAGCAAGCCACCTAAGCCATCGTAAGCTACAGTGTTTGCTGGCATCTGTAGAGCACCCCCCCCCCCACCTCTCAAAAGTCTTATAAAGAGATCATTCATAAAGGATGAAATAAATTTGACCAAGGTTTTTGTTTGTTTGTTTGTTTTTTTAAGAACTTTATTGTTGGGCTGGCAAGGTGGCTCGGTTGTCTTGTTGGGCGCCTGCCTGCAAGCTTGTTGACCTGACCCTGCTCCCCAGAACTCACATGGTGGAAGGAAAATACTGACTCCCACAAGTTTTCCTCTGACCTCAGCAAGTGCTTAGTGAAATGGCTGTGTGGGCACACACACACACACACACACACACACACGCACGCACGCACGCACGCACGCACACACCCACGCACACGCACATACACACGCACAAGTTTTTTTTTTAAGTGTAATTAAAACAAACAAACAAAAAAAAGAATCAAGTGTGTTACCAAATAAAAATGGAGTAGCATTTAATAATTTTTTTCCTCTAAATTTTTTTTCAGAGTGTTTATGCCATACCAACCATGGCTTTTTCATTTCTCTGCCATACCTCAATATTGCCCATATACTGTGAGCTTCAAAGGTACTGTAGAACGCTGGGAATGTGCATTTCTCTCTGGGGCTTTCGGATTGAATAGCATTCTCATTTATGAATCCTTCTCTGTTGTCCTGAATTCTAAGTGTTAGTTAAAAAAACAAGGCAGTCGCCAGCTAATTCCGTCCTCGTTGGTAATGTTGTCAGTGACGCCATCTTTGTCTGTGAGTGTCCACTTGTGAATTCTAATGTGTAGTCATTGATGAACTCACGGTTGTCTGAAGAGTCCTGACTGGCCTGCGAGAGGCTTGTTTCTTCAGATATCAATTCCTACCGTGTTTGTGTTTCAGCCCCTCAAAGAAAAGGATGCAGAACGTAAGCAATACAGCAATTGCTCTGAGCTTCCTGGTTTACTTGGTATCTGCGCTCTTTGGATACCTCACTTTTTATGGTGAGTAGATTCTTAACCAGCGGTAATGAGGGAAGCGCAGATGACCTCACACCTGCCTGTGGTCTTTCTTCCTACCTCTCCCTTGTCAGTTTATCTGTCAGGTCACATGTCAGCACTGTGGTGGCTTTGTGAGCTCCTTTTTCTGACAAAGGTGAGTCAGGCCTGAGAGTAATGACCTCATGGGAAAGTTTTTCCTCTCTTTAGAATGGTATGTATATGTGTGTCCGAGTGTGAGTTTGTGCGTGTGAATGGATTACCTGTGGAGGCCAGAAGAGGGCATCAGGTCCCCAGAAGGTGGAATTACCTCGGAAGCAAGTGGCTGTGACCCACCCAACTTGAGTGTCCAACTCCTCTTCTCTGTGAGAGCACTACGTGTTCTTAACAGCTAAGCCATCTCTAGCCCTTCAAGTTTTTCTTAGATTTTTACGTAGATTTTCAAGTATATTGATGTCTCTATAAAATAATGATTTGGGTCTTTTAAATTTGTGTATTCAGAGCCAGGCATGGTGATGCCACACATGTAATCTCAGCACTCAGGAGACAGAGGCAGGTGGATCTCTATGAGTTCGAGGACAGCCAGGTCTACGTAGTGAGTTCTAGGACAGCCAGAGCTATATAGTCTTGAAAAAAGCGAGGGGAAATTACATATTCAGTATGTTAGGCTCCAGATGGTAAACTTAGAGGTTAGGAAAGTAAACCATCTCAATAGTTACACAAAGCAGCTCCAGAAGGCAAAAGCTAGTACAGTGCACTCAGCCGTTGGCCGGCCCTGTCTTCCGACTTCGCTTATACAGCATGCGCTTAAGTGCATTCCTCCCCATGCTGCCCCGGGGCCTGTCTCTTCAAGTTTCTTAAAGACACTTGTAAAATTATAAAGCATAAGCAAAATTCTCTTTTATTTATTTTGGAAACGTTTCCTGCATAGTTTGTTGGGTTTTTTTTTTTCTTCTTTGAACAAGCATGTCAAGAACAAAATCAAAGTCTAGAGCAAGAAAGAATGAGCAAAATTCACAAACAATCACATCCTAGCACATGCCACTCAAGCCCAATTTTGAATGTATTCTTCAGCTTAGAAGTGTTTTTATAGTAACTGCAAGTGAATGGCTGTTACTACTTGGGGATGCTTAGCTGTTGGTGACCTGCTTGATGGCTTTGTGCACTTTTCAAGGTTGGGACTTCTGCGGTCACCAGCTGTGGACCCTTATTTATACTTATCTCCCGGTTTCCGCAAGTGCCAAGTCTTTAGACAGTGTTTTCTTATACCACTATCTTTCCTAGGCCCTTTGAGAAGAATACTGGTTTTGAAACCCAGCAAGTCTGGGTCATATAACTAGCTGTCATTCCCTAACTAGCTCTGTGACCCTGAGGAGAGCCTCTACCATGGAGCATCTTCAGCTCCTAATCTATAGTATGAGCCTAACTGCAGAGGGCTATGGTGAGGCAGAAGTGAGTTCTATCTAAAACCCTGCTGTAGTATTTGGCACGTAATAGTCCTTCTCAACCCAGGCCTGTTTATAGCTGTGTATCGCTGTGTATACTGTCACCCTAACTGTTGTAACTGTCTCTGTTTTAGGGGTCCTCTTTCAGCATCATGCTTCTAATTACTCTTACACATCTGTTGTGTGTGTGTACAGGTCCCTGTGTGTGCATGTGAGAGTGGCCGTTAGAGGACAGCCTCGGGGGTCATTCATCAGGAGCCTTCCACCTTGTCATTTTGAGACAGGGTCTGACACTTGGCCGGGAATTTACAAGTAGGCTTTTGGGCAAGCTGCAGGGAGGGTCGCCACTGTCCCTGCCTCCCCAGCACTGGGGTTAGCAGCACATTCCACCACACCCAGATGATTTTTTTTTTAAAAAACATGGATTCTGAGGATTGAACTCAGGTCCTCGTAGCAGCAGGGCAACCATTTCTACAGCCAAGCCCTCTCCCCAGCCCCTCTTCTGAGTGACGGCTTTTCAGTGGGTGCCCTCTCACCTCGGGGTTCCCAGTGTGTGTCCTAGACAGGGATTTGCCGTAGTCCAGCTGTGGGTGTGCCTGTACCGTGGCCCCCCTCCACAGCACCTGGGCACCCAAATGTTGTGTCCTGCAGGAATGCACAGCTGATAGGGTCCCGCGGCGGTAGGCTGTCCACAGATGGGTGGGGACGCCCTCCCAAAGGTAGAGGACAGGCAGAACAGTCTGTTCCTCGCGATAGTTCTTCTTTTTCATTGTTAATCAGAATCAAGAAATGTCTTCTGCTGTGGCTTTCAAGTAGTCTAGTCAGAGCTGTCTAATAACAAGAAATTGTTAGTTTGGTAGGCCTAGCCTAAAGGTCAAGCTTATATAATTCATCTTTCCAGGTTAGAAGTTCACCCTAGAGAGGTAAAGTGGACTGCCATGGATTTAAGGCAGCTTTCTGCCTGCAAGCCAGTATTCTTGGTGCTACCTAATGAAAATCTTCCTCGGTGTCTTAAGCAGGCAGCCATGTGACGCCAGCGGTACAAATGACTTGCAAAAAAAAAAAAAAAGCGGTTCTTTCTAGAATTTATGAAGCTTTCTCTGAGTCCAAATGAGTGTGTTATAATTGTTCCTTATACATGTTAAGGCTCAATTAAGAATATGAGGGGGGGGTTGTGGGAGGGTGTCTCAGAAGGCTTTCCCCCTGGGAAAGTAGGATTTCTAGTAAATGTAGTTCTTAATACTTGTGGAGCTGATTGGAATCTTTATCCAGGACTCTCAAAGCTTAGTTAATATCGAACTTGTGTCAGATTAAAGGGTCTATAAGTATCAACCTACATGAATAATATTGGTTCTAATCACAGATGTTACAGAGGACAGTGTCCCTCTGGTGAGCCAGGCCGGTGCCCAAACACGGGGTAGCCGGCCATTTTAATGTCTGTGAGGCCGTTAAACAGGGAGTGTTAACAGCTCATTTTATGATTCAGAAAATGGAAATAAAATAGTTTGCCATATTTCTCCAAAGACTCCTAAGTATCTCACAGATTTGGAAATAGAATCCAGATTTCTTGGCCCTTCCCAGTCCTCATACCTAGTCCCATCTCTCCATTCTGTAATTTTCGTCTGTAGCACTGTAGACGATTTTATTTCTCTGCTGTGCCCATGACTAGCCTAGCTCAGAGTCTCATTACTTTAGTGATTATAACAGTAGCTTTTTGTTTCTTTGTTTCTTTGTTTCTGGTGTTTTCCTTCCACTCTGCACTTGGGTGTAGTTCGAGTCACAGTACACTCCTCTTTCTGTCTTAGTCACGTTCCTCACTGCTGCACCACAACACCTGAGGTCCAAAGCAGCCTGAGGGAGGGAGGGAGGGTCTGTTGTGGCTCCCAGATCATCATGGCCGGGAAGGCACAGTGGCGGAAGAATCAGGAGTAGTGAAGTCTTGTCCAGCTTACTTTCTCCTTTTATATAGTCCAGGATCCTGGCCCACGGGATGGTGCCATCCACTACTGAGTCTTCCCACCTCAACTAACCTAATCAAGATAAACACACACACACACACACACACACACACACACACACACACACACACACACACCAGAGGTCTGTCTCCTGGGCGATTCTAGATCTCATCAAATTGACAATTGAAATTATCCAATTCCTAGATGCTTGTACTTTTGGCTTGTCAGATTTCATCTAAACCCGGTGCAGGGCTGTCTTGCTGAGTCTTCTCCAGCTCACTCACTCACTCACTCACTGTCCTCTTGCCCTCCTGCTCACGATGCCTCCACTGTGGTGCTGACTGGAGCATTCACTTCCTCAAGCACAAGTGCCCTTTGCTACCGCAGGCTTCTGCTGGTTCTGCTTCTCCGTTCTAGAAAGTCTGTTCCACGTCTTTGAATGTCAGCACACATGGCAGCTCATTCCGTGAATTCAGTAACTGTTGAGGTCCATGAATTATTGTCATCTGGAGACAGGAAGTTACAGCAGGTAGTGGGATTTGAATGCGCATTGTCGTCTCAGTTTAGAATTACCGTAGCGCTTTGTTTAAGCCTCCTTCTGCCGCTTAGATTTATTCACCTTGTATAAACTTTCCGGTGCATCTTTACGGGGTCCTCTTATCTCTTAAGACCCAGAAAAACAGGCATATTTGCTTTTTGTATTTCCTCTAATTTTTGTATTTCTAAAATTTGATTTTTATATTTAGGTCCAAACTGGTCTTTGTCCATAGGTCCTGAGGTGTGGTGTGAACACCCTTGTTCTTCCTCAGGTGACCTGGGTGAGGGAAACTACCAGGCAGAAAGCAGGGGCGGCATCTCTCAGTCCTGTCTCTCTCTGTCCTGACTAAACAAGCCATTTTCTTAACGCTTCATTTTCTTTTATGCAAGATGAAAATGGACAAAGCTGATAATATGCACACTGTGCAGACTATAGAATTGACCCTGAAAGTATAGTCTTACACAAAGCGCTGTGAAATTTGAGAAAATGCTGGTATAGCGGGAAAGCTATCACGAAAGTGTGGGGTGCCCTGCTCTGCCCCCCTGATATGTGTTCTTAGGCAAACTGGCTGGTATTTGTGAGCCTTCCTATCTCATATTGCCATGGTGACCAAATTCAGCAGTACACGTCAACATTTTACAAACACTTTCCGTAAAATTATGGAAACTTCTAAGGAGTTTTGCTTTCGTTTGTATTTTGTTTTATTTTATTGTTTTTATGACTGGGCCTCACTGGCTTGGAACTTGCTAGGTAGACCAGGCTAGCCTCAGACTCACCGAGATCCATCTGCCTCTGCCTCCCCATTGTTTTGATAAAAGCCTTGCACCACCACACATGGTTAGGGAGATACTTTTAAATACAATTTTTTGTATTTAAAATTAAATTGTGGACATTCTGTGTGTCCTGGTTTAACGTTTCTTAAAGAACACAAGAGTGGACATGGACTGACAAGATGTTCCAGCAGGTAGAAGCACCTGCCACCAAGCCCAATGACCTAAGTGTGAGTCTCAGGACTCACGTGGTACAAGGAGAGAGCCAACGCCTGCAAGCTGCCCTCTGAGCTCCACGTGTGTACAATGGTATTGGCACACCCAAATAAGTCAATGAGTGTTATACGTTTTAGAAAGAAGTGTACATCTCAAGAAAATATTAAATATCTTGGTATTTCAGAGCAGAGAGAAAAGGGCCAGAAATGAATTTCAGAACGGGATCCAAGCCTGGTATGATCCAATAAACCAACAGAAATATCAAGAATTTTGCTATTATTGATATAGTGGCACATAGTTTTCTAATGCGCCCCTGATTGCTGCTGCTGTTGTTATTGTTTTAATTTACTTACAGACAAAGTGGAGTCAGAGTTGCTACAAGGTTATAGTAAATACTTGCCACATGATGTTGTTGTCATGGCTGTGAAGTTATGCATACTGTTCGCTGTGCTTTTGACAGTTCCTCTAATCCACTTCCCTGTAAGTATGCCCAAAGGTTCTGTTGCTTAGTGTCGTGACTCCCTAATATGGCAACACTAATTCTTTGCAGACCAGACCCTTTGAATCACATCTAGTCTTGTGTATCTTATTCATTTGTCAAGTAATTGATCCAAGACCTCATACTAGCATATGGTCCCATGAAAGCACAAAAATAACAGTCCACCTCGAAGCTAATTTGTGCTTTCTGAGATTTGGTTTAGCTTTACCTCTCCCTTGGTTTTGTTTCTAATTTAGAGACTATGGTTTTAAGGGGCTTTTTTTTTGGGGGGGGAGGTCGTTCTGTATTCTGTTTTCAAAAGAATGTGCACAAAGAAGAGACAGTCGAGTCAGCAGAAAGGAGCCCCTCCTGGTTTGTTACAGGTTGCTTCCCATGGGGAGTTCATGCTTAGGCTTTGAACTTGCTCTAGGATTCAAGAGGCGGACAGATTGCCATCTGTATCCAGTCGCTACACATAAGAATCCTAAAAATTTCTGTGAAAATGAAAACAAGGGCAGTGGGTGGAAATGCTTCTGCCTGGGTGTCTTGAACTCACGTGAGTTCCTAAAATCCAGGACCTTCCAGAATGCTTGCCCCTCCCTGTGAGGCTGCAGGACCAGGGGTCCGACCAAGGCCAGATAAACTTGTGCGCTGTGGTTGCCAGTGACCTGCCCTGGCAATGGGAGATGTGGGAACTGTTTTCTTGTATTTACATGCCATGGAACAGATAACAGAAATAAAACAGAAAATGGCATTTCTTTACCATACCATGGTTTATTTTTTTCCGCCTGAAAGTTTGTTTGTCTGTTGAATTTAATGAAAATTGTTCTTTGTGATTTCATAACACAGTGTTATTGCTTGTAATTTTTTTAAATTACAGAACCTTAAAAAATTGCCTATGAAACTTTTGTGTGGAATTTAAGCAAAATAATTTTTATGAAGCTCACCCAGAAAGGTTTATGTGTGTAAAAACACTGCATAATGATAGTTTATGCTGTGTCTGGGGAATAGAAATGATTTAGGGTAAAAATATTATGGTTACTATACATGTGTTTCTCTAAGCAAATGCCATGCCTTTGATCCTTCCCTTTGCCTGAATCTCTTTTTTCTGCTCTACAGGCCAGAAAAGCTTTAATGATGCTACTTTTCTCAAATTTTCCATTTTCATGGATCCGGCATTCTCTGACCACATTAGCACTCAACATTATCATTGTTTTACTTGCAATATATGTTCCTGACATTAGGAATATGTTTGGTGTAGTTGGTAAGTTTCCATTAAAAAAGAAATCATGCACTAAAAGGAGCCGGGGAGGGCGTCGTAGTGGTAGAGCTCTTGGATTTGATTCCCAGCTCCACGGAAAGAAAGGGGCAATGAAGTCGTTGCTCTCACAGCGGATCCAGTGATGTCTTATTTTCTCCTCTCTTCCTTGTAGGTGCCAGCACATCAACGTGCTTGATTTTTGTGTTCCCAGGGCTGTTTTACATGAAACTTAGCAGAGAGGATTTTCTCTGGAAAAAGCTTGGGGTAGGTTGTTCCCAGCTGTTTCCTTTAAGCCTTCTGTCTTAAGAAATAGCTTGTCATTTCATTACTGTTTATGTCTAAGTCAATATGTATCTTCATATATGAAGTACATTTTGGAGTCGGGTGTGATGGTCATGCCTGTATTCCCAGCTCGTAGGGGGGTGAAGGAGGAGGATTGCTGAGTGTTTGAGGCTAGCCTGAGCTACAGAGTGAGACCCTGTATTCTGATACTGCGTGGAAGTCCACCTCAGAGGACCGAGGCTCACACTCACGGTCTGCTTTTCTCCACAGGCCTTGCTCCTGCTCACTACCGGCGCCTTGGTCGGGAGCTTCAGTTTAGCACTCATCATTTTTGACTGGGTCAACAATGAAAAAAAATTTTTTCTATTATAAAGAATAACTTACCTCTGTAAGCAAGAAGGAATCATTCTGGAAGGCATTGGATATGAAAGTCACACTCAGGAAAATTATTACCAGAAAAGCAAGACAGAGCAGCAGGAATTTAGTCAATTTATTTTGAACCAAAAATTAGAAATATTCAAAATGTTGTTCTTAAATATGTTGAGTCACTCTTTTTTGTGGGAATTTTATTTTATTTTGTTTTTGAGACAGGATCTCACTGTATTGACGAGGCTGGCCTTGAACTCATAGCATCTGCCTGCTGCCACTTTACAAGTACTGGCGTTAAAAGTGTGCGCCAGCATCCTGGCACATGCCTGCCATCATCCTGGCACATACCTGCCATTTGTGACTTTTAAAAAAAATAAATAGCTTTTATTTTTTTAGAGTAGTTTTATGTTTCCAGATATATTGAGTAAATGAACTAAGGGATTCCATTTGACTCCCTACAAGGGTAGTCTAACCTCAAGCGTTCCCTGATATGAATGCCTTGTGGCAGTATAGCATGTTATACCCAGGAATGATAAAGGTCTGAGTGAGGGTTTGTTCTTGGCCACCACTGATCTTTTTACAAGAATGCCGTGATTGGGATCATGTAGGACTGTAGCACGAATCTTAAATGGTCTTATTAATAAAATCAAACTTGGAGCCAGGTACTGGGGTGAATGCTGGAAGATCAGAGAAGCAGAACAAACCACAGCCACCTCACCTTGCCAGTTCGTCAGCTGATCCTGTTTCCTCAGACTGGAAGCCTCTGTGTCCTTACATCCAAATGGATCTCAGCTGAACTGTTGCTCAAAAGTCTAAAAGCTTAACCAGCTAGTTTCTGGTCCCCACACCTTATATACCTTTCTGCTTCCTGCCATCACTTCCTGAGATTAAAGGCGTGAGTCACCACGCCTGGCTGTTTCCAGTGTGGCTTTGAACTCACAGAGATCTGGATGGATCTCTGCCTCCAGAAGGCTAGGATTAAAGGTGTGTGTGCCACCATTTTCTGGCCTCTATGTCTGTCTAGTGGCTGTTCTGTTCTCTGACCCCAGATAAATTTATTAGGGTGCACGATATATTTTGGGGAACATAATACCACCACATAGGACCCTGTGGCATTTTCAGACTGACTTTGATGTAATAGCTCATTTCCTTTTAATATTGAATAATATCCCATTATAGGGTTGTATCAAGGTTGTTGAAACACTCACCTCATGGAAGACCTTCCTACTGCTTCCAAGTTTTGCCAACTATCAATAAAGGTGCTAAAAATGTTTGTGTGCAGTTTTTACATGATCATGTTTTCATTTGGGGAGGGCGGGTTAAATACCAAGGAGCACGTGCTTGTTTAGTTTTATAAGAAACTGCCAAGCTCTTCCCAAGCTGCTGTAACATTTTTGTATTATTGTCAGCAATGAGTGAGCGTTCTATAATCCCATATCCTCACCAGCATTTGGTGTTAGTAGTGTAGTGCGCTGAGTTCTCGACAACTGAGTGTTGTCGAGAACAACTGTTTTGAGATTCCCTAATGGAATGATAGGGACATCGCACATGCTTCTGTGACCAGCCGCTGCCTATTTTCTTAGATGAGTGGCTAATTCTTTTGCCCATTTTTAAGTTGGGTTGTTTGCTTATTATTTAGTTTTACATATTCTTTGTGTGCATTGGATGCTTGTCCTTTATGAAGTAAGTATTTTGCAAAAATTTTCCTGGGCCTTGCCTTTTCATTTTTATTTTTATTTTTATTTTTGGCTTTTGGGGCCAGGGTTTCTCTGTGTAACTACCCTGGCTGTCCAGAAACTGTAACCTTGACTCTTGAGACATGGGCTTCAGCCCTGGACAGGCCCTGCCAGGTCCACTCCTGAACAAGGTCACAGACCTGAAGTTCCCTTTGTCCGTTCAGTAGGGCCTCTAAGAAAGTCTTGAGTTGGTGTGCCTCCCTACAATATATAAGGTATCAATTTTGTTTTATTAAGAAGTCAGTGCATTACATTTTTATACAAAATTGATTCTTAGTGTGGAGGTTAACCTTAGTGTCAGTCAGAAACTGAGATTTCTCTACTGGGTATGGCCCTGCCTCCCAGTCTCACCTGAGATTTTCCTGTTGCTTTGATGAGTTTGAAAGTTCCCCAAACCTTGTCAGGCTGTCACTAAAATATGTAACATTCTTGGAAAACAGACACCTAGTGATGGTCTGTCTCATACGTTGTCTAGAAACCGTGAAACATTGCTTTTGGACCACTGACATGGTTCCCCGTTGGAAACTTGAAGCTGGGACTCTTCTGCCATGAGGGTTCCACGTAAAGGGCGCTGTGTTTGGCCGCCGGCTGCAGTTGACTTGGAAAGTAGGGAGTCTCGTGCAAAGTGATAGTTTGCATACATGGAAAGACACACTTTTACAGGGGTCCTCTTGCCTCCCACTTAGGAAAGAGGCTGAAAGTGTGGCGACTGAGCTGCTCTTCCGGAAAGATCAAAGAGAACGCTGGCAGCTTGAGAGCGCTGGGTGTAACAGGGCAAGGCCAAGCTGTGGGTTCGAAGAGCAGGATTCAGAGCCTAATGAAAGCCACACCACTCTTAACCTCCGAGCCTCTACTTCCAACTCCGTGAAAGGGAAGTAATACCCATTTTCGTGACTGTTGGGAGGATTAAATGGCCTTTAATAAATTAGATGCAGACCAGCGAGGCTTTCTTACCAGCTGTTTGCCCTTTCTCTGTCTCATCCCTTATCGGGAGCAGTAAAATGAAGTGGTTTTTACCCGAGGGCACGGAACGAAGCCTTGGATTTTTCATCTTGTATCTTGCCTAACTTTGACCTGAGTCTCTTTGGCCTTCACCCCCAGGAGCTGGCCCCGGAAGCAGGGGTTAGTGCTTTCCCACAGTTCCACACCAGCTGCGTGCTGCTTCTCCTGCCACGCCGAGGCTGAGCACTTCGCATGCCCCAGCCCGGGCAAGCATGGCCTCTCCTTCGGCTTCAGGTCAGAGCTCGCCGACTGAGCTCCTCATACCCTATTGTTCTGTTTATGAAATAATGCTCATAGGTGTTCAGCTGCCTAAATAAATCTTAACTCTGGTAATACCAAAATAACCCTAAATCTACAACAGATGCAAGGATGCCCCCAGGGGCAAATGGTAAGTGTGGTGACAGCTGGCCATCAATTAATATGTTTGTCACCTGTTCTGGAGCTGGTGCCCTGGGAGGTTTGTCAGGAGACAAATACCCTTTGTAACACTGCACAAAATGGAGTTACTATCAAGAAAAGGAGTTGGTGGAGGTGGTCAGTTTTACTTCAGCGTTCTGCCTTGCCTGGTTGCCTGTCTGAGGTCACATTTTCTGTGACTTTAGAGGAAGCCAATGAGAAAAGCTAGCAAGAGCCATGGCCCCTTCATAACCTTGGGCTAGTACCCACAGCACTCTTTCTGGGAAATCTGGGCCTTCTCCTTATGGGCTTAATGGTCATAATTTATTAGGTAATAACTATTTAAAAATAAAACTAAGAAACGCACAAAATACACACTTTCCTAACATTGGGAGAGTTATTTGCTAAATTAAAAGACAAAATGCCAAGACCGTAAATTACTTTCATATGTTCGGAGTGAATGTTTTAAGTTGTACTTTTTTTTTCCCCCTTAACAATGTTTACTCATGAGCTTAGCATTTAAATGGTTAATACAAGCCTTTGAAGTTAACACTCCATTAAGATGAATGGGGGTAATTCACACCTCTGCTGGGCTGTATTATTTCAGTCTGGCTGCGGAGAAAACAGGACAGCAGCAGGCTGATTTACTGTGCGAAGGTCCTTTAAACACCGTCGTTGGCTGGAAAACTTTGTTCTTGGGGTGGTTTCTTCGTCTGTTTGTTGTCTGTGTGTTCGTTTTCCTTTTCCACCTGGGAACAGGGTCTCGAAGTCGCATCCCGTTTAGGTGTAGAACTGGAGTCTTGAGAGGTGGCAGATTGTCTCCTCTCCAGTGACTTCGTGACATTGGATGGGTAGTGGGGTTCCAGGCCAACTAAAGCCCGCTGGCTCTGTCGAGTTCTGCACTGAAATGTGGTCTGTAAAGTCCAGCTTAGTCCCCAGGAAAATTCACCCGTGGAAAAGCAGGCGGGGCCGTTTTCCTTTTTCACCTTAACTTCACAGATGACGTCAGTGGGTTAAGAAGTCATTGGTTTTCTTGTACTCTTAAAAACTTTGTTTTGGCGAACTTTTATGTTCTTATTTGCCTGTATATAAAGATCTACCTCTAAAAAGCCAGGCATGATGGCATACGCCTTTAATCCCAACAGGCTGAAGCAGGTGGACCTCTGTGAGTTCAAGGCCAGCCTGGTCTACATAAAGAGTTCCAGGACAACCAAAGCTACATAATAGAGAAACTTTATCTCAAAAAGACAAAAAAAAAAAAAAAAAAAAAATCAACCTTAAGAAATTTTGTATGGCCCTAAAAATAACTCAGGGTTAAGGCCCTTGCCAGGAAAGCCTGTAGTCCAACCCCACAAAGTTGTCCTCTAACAGCCACATAGTGTGATACTCACACTACACACACACACACACACACACACACACACACACACACACACACTAAATAATAAATAAAACAAAGGCCTTTTTGAAAGAAAGAAATGTTTCCGTATTCTTGCAATAGTGAGGTGAGCAGACATCAGCGAGGAAAGAATCCTTTCTCAAAGCATCCTTTGTAGTGAGCGTCCCAGTCATTGGAAGTGCTAAAGCCATTTAACCTGAAAGGATTCATTTTAGAGCCTTGGAATAAAGTGTTCTTAACCCACATAAATGGCTAACCTTGTGTGACAGGTAATGAATTCGAAGGACCTCTTTTTAATGTGGGTAGATTTTTCTCCCTCCATCCTCGGCTCTGCATGTTTGTGGGATCGGGTTACTGGGTACCCTGTGGGGAGCTGGATGTGGAGGTTCCTCCTAGCTGTCTGCAGTGCTGGTGTTGCCAGTGGGATGTGGAGAGACAGAGAGGAGATTGGAGAAACAAAGGGACCCACCCGAGCCGCACCTGATTTACCCTGTGACTAGCGCTCAGCATCTGCTAAACGCCCGGCTAAACATGCAGGTTCTGACGTCATAATGTCTGACCTTAGGGCATCTCCCCATCTTTTCCAATACTGAGAAGTGTGTTCGCTAATTTCAATGAGTGGCTTCTTCACTCTTCTACCTGTACTCCCGCCGTCTTCCCACGGTGGGTAGAGGAATGGAAGAGGAACTCGAATGGAGGCTGAGCAGGTCTCAGGCATAGTTCCTGCCTGGAGTGAACGTTCTTTGTCTCGTCTCTCTGGGTGAGCTGTTGTCCGACTCACCACACTGCCAGTCAAGAACAACTCAGACGAGCAGGAGACTCATCTTGGCCGTGAGCCAAGTGGACAGGTGGGCGTGAGAGCTCTGTTTACCTGTGGGACACAGTAGATGGGGAGAACGGGAAATTGAGTTGCCTGGGCCGGGGACAGATGGTGGAAAGGCATTGTAACGTGGGATACTGTTTTTCGAAGTGACCTTTAGAAAAACGTCTCTCGCTTGTTTCAAGGTTTATCTAATGTCATCAGTGGACTGAGGTACAAAAACTAGGGCTAGGCATATGGTCACCTGATAGAATATGGGCGTTCCGGGGTGTGCCAGTCCTGAAGGAGTAAAGCAAGGAGCTAGTGTCCGTCTTGCCTGAGAAGAGTTCAGCTACAACTTGAACTTCTCTGACAACCGTTCAGATTGGTTGGATAATTGAAACTGCTTAAAAGGAGATTTGTGGCCGGGTATGGTGGTGACCAACTTTCGTCCCAGCACTTGGGAGGCAGAGGCAGGCGGATCTCTGTGAGTTGGAGGACAGTCTGGGC